TGTATCAGTGTGCTACCAAACAAGATGTAATGTTAGTACTTGTCTATTTCTCTGCTATTGATGCCTAGCTATGTACATGGCCACATAACTGAATCACTGCCAATGGCCTAAGATCAATTTCATCATCCTAGTCATCCCTATACTCAAACAAATCACCATGTAGTACAGTTAAAAACTGTAAACTAGCTCAAGTGATCGAAGAAATAACCTAGATGAAACTGTGATCAGTTTGGTTTGTTTAATATACACCATGTGCTTAAGTAAATATATTTCCTATCTTCATAAGACATTAAGTATGAACCAAATATTATCAGTATCTTTTCACCAGCCAGCTGCACATAAATGCCAATGCTGTGACACATTTCATGAATTAACAGTGTTTCCTGATCATAAGACTTCAAAATTTAATTATGGATAAAAAGATGTATATTAGGCAAAACGGGAGAACAAGCCACTCTGCAACAGCCTGACAAATGTAGGGAAAGGCTAATTATGGAACACTAACAAAGTGCTTCATATATATGTGTTGACTGCAGAGTAATCAAGCTAATTTCCAAGTGTAAATAAAATATTATTTTAGCCATATTTACCTAGGTTTTTAACCTGGTGAGTAGCCAACTTTCCTTGTCAACACTATGCAGTTGAAATTATGTTCTCATTTTATCCTTTTGGAGTTTCCTTCTAATGTGTGCCTAGTAGATGCCAGGTTTACCATATGTTATCGTATTTCTTCTCAAATTACAGAGAGTAAATAATATCTCCAATTCAAAGTTTAAGAAAATGGAGGTCTCAATGATTAAGAAACTTTTTCTAGGATACACATGGTAATATGTAAAGACATGATTTGAATTTGTCATCTCTGTAACAATCATATAAATACAGACTTACTAGAGTTTAAAAAAAATTCCAGGAAAGGAGGGGAAAAGCAAAAAGAGCTACTCCACTAGGTAATACGTTCTGAAGTCACTCCAGGAGGACTTACTCACTTAGGGGGCTGTCTTCACTCATCATTTTAGTGTAAAATGTATAATAGGTTAAGAATATTACTTACAACTCCTAAATATAAAAGGTTTTTGTAGATAATTGGGTTGTGGTCTAGCAAATAGGCTTTCCCTTCTACTAAACCCTCAAAACTGTATGTGGTCTATTTTAACATCCTTTACAATTAAATTGCCTTAACAGCATCTTAAAGAACCCCAAATAATAATTCAAAAATTCGCCACATGTGGTATCAAAAGATTAGACAAGTCTTAAGCAGACCAAGACTTAAATCCTAGCTGATAATACAGTGGAGAAATTATAAATCATAAAGGCTGGGAAGAAAGAGCAAGGGTTTAGAAAAAGGAAGATATAATCAGAGGACATAAGCCTTCATATAAATCAAGGCTTCCTATTCTAGGCAATTATTTCATAAACTGGATCTTGGATTGTTGATCTCTTTAAATGATTACTAGAAAATGTATGCACTTTTAGAAACAGCTGCTGGATGATTTATATTTCAGACCTATTTTCTATCAGTTTCTATTCCTCGAGAATATGGTTTTCATAATGGAGTTGATACTTTCAAGTAAAATGAAAAACTTGAAATTCAATTTGTATAAAAGCAATGTAATTTTAGCATACAATTACTACATCACATTTGGGAAAACAGTGATAAAAGAAGCACCCAAATACAAATCCAGACAAGATCCATTTTCTAAAGATAAAATCATTTTGTCAGGGAAATATGAATGGAAACATTTTTTTCTTCCTCCTCGCCCTAAATTCTGATAGTCTAGCCAAATAATGAGTCCAAGCCCCTTCACCTCCTCTGAAAACACAGGATGATGTTGTAAGAAGGAGAGAGGGAGACAGAAAGAGAACAGGAAAGAGGGAGAGGGAAGAGGAGAGGCTCAGAAAGAAGGAAGCAGGTGATCTTAGGGATGAGACATCTTCCTCAGTAACTGGTGTATTACTGGGCAGGCATGGAGAAGAGAAAAGTGTTCCTTTTTTGAGTAATATTTTTAAATTACCAAAATGGCATTTGGTATTAATAGAAGATAAAATGCACATGCAGTAACCATTAGTCATGATAATGTAATTTATTTATCCTATTGCCCATAATAAAGACAGCAAGCAAGCTACACAGTACTCCATATAAATAAATTGAAGGAATAGGCTACTTTGCACATTTAAAGGAGATTTTGAACGTCTTGTTTATGTAGGTTGAATGGTTCCCATCTACCTATCTACTCAGTGAAAGATGAATTATCAGCAACAGTTCTCAAAAGAACAGAATCAAGTCACAGTGCAAATAAACAACTACCTGCAAAGGAAATGATTCTTACTCCACAGAGTGTGAGGAACAAGGGTAACTGAATAAACATAAGGCTATTATTAAAAGTCAAAATATCATTAGCATTCTATGGCTGTTATCACTGCCCTTAGTGAAAAATAATTCAGCTCTACATTATGCTTCTGAAGCAGAAAGTCTCTTCCTTTTTGTTTTCTGGACAAAAGATCATTTATATGCAGCACCACCACCAACAAACAACATGTTGTACTCAATCTGGCTTTTAGTTGCTATTTTGTGCTTTTTCATCATTGGTGTGAATTGTTAAGCAAAGGAAGTGTTCATAGAGACCAGGGTCCAGTGCGGTCTGCTGCCCAAATTTCTTACACAGCACAGATGTGACTGTCTCTGTAACACAAGATTGATTTGAGGAGGTGAATGCTCTGTGAATTTAATATTAAAAAAAATGACCTAGGTAGTATTTTACAGCCATCACAGGCTGTGAACAAATCTGACTCAAATGGTTTATATTCTACTTAAAACTTCTTATAAATTCCTTCACTTGAGCCATTTTATTACTATTACTAATATACAATACTAGCTTCACCAAGAAGTTTCTCAGTATGTTCATGTGCCTCAGATATCCTAGCATATTGTTAGAAAATAATAGATGCTACTAATTAAACATAACTACAAATTGAATTATATCACTGAATATGTTTTACAAAGTTAAGCCCATATGCATGATGCTAATAATTACTAACTTTGTTGAATTAATTACATTCAAAGTGGCAAAATGTGCGTATCATGAGTATGCTTTTCCATGGAATGAAGTATTGTTAATAGTGTTGAAAAGGAAAGTACTTTCATTGTCCCTTGGCTTGAAAATGTTGTTAATAAAAAGAGTAAATTTTAAAAAGCTGTAAATTGCTTTTTAATTTGAATGCTTAGAAACAATGGCATTGATAGAAGAAAAAGAGTGTTTATCAGAAATGCAATGCAGTTATGGCCAATTGGTCTTGAAAAGTAAACTAAAACTATTTAAGGACAATATTAATATTAGGAAGTGAAGAATTCAGATAACCCACAGAAAATGGATCTTTTGAAAATGATATTTTAAGTTTAAATTCCAATATTAGGAGCTTGAATCAGAATTATTTTTGTAGAATTTTTGAGGGACTTTTTAAAACTCTCAGTCTGTATACAACACAATGCCTGCCATTATAAAATATGTATGTTTTGACCTAACTCGTTTCCATTAAACTTTAGTGATTACAAATACCGGACCCTCATAAAAGCTATTAATTTCATATATATGAACTATGAAACATAAGTAATTAAGAAATTGATGACTCAAATGTTGTATGGATGCAGACAGGCAGAAACTGTTGTTCTCTAGTGTTTTAAATCCACACTGCAAAACATTTTTAAGAGGAACAAGAGGCAGAGCCAGCTTCAGGAAATGCAACTGCCCAGGAGTCCCTAGGCCTTTTGCTTAGAGCTCTGCTTGGGTGTGACAATGTGTTGCTCCAGCTGTCTTGTGATTTTTCATTTTCAACCAGACGTCCTTGCCATTTCCTTTTACACTGCATCCTGCAAGTTATTCAGACAGTCCTGTGTAGAAAACTACCTTTTCTAATAATTTTCTAAACCTGCACATTACTATGCTTTCAAAGTTGTAATCTGAGGTTTGTATTTCTACAAGACAAATATTTTCATGACTTCTAAAACTTAGCACTCTCCTCTACTTCCAAAGGTGACTCTTCCGCAACTTGTTATCATTTTGTCTTTGTAGCCCTGGCTAAGTGAAAAAAGAACAAGAGATTTTTCCAGGAGTACAGAATGAACCAGCACCCAGGTGTCATAGCCTCCTCCCTCTTCTTCAACATTCTGGTTTAAATCACCCCAGGAGTGCAAAGAGGATTTTCTCACATTTATGAAAAAAAAATTTTTTTGGACAGGCAGAGTTAGAGAGAGAGACAGAGAGAAAGGTCCTCCTTCCGTTGGTTCACCCCCAAAATGGCTGCCATGGCTGGTGCGCTGCGCTGATCCGAAGCCAGGAGCCCGGTGCTTCTCCTGGTCTCCCATGAGGGTGCAGGGCCCATGTGCTTGGGCCATCCTCTACTACCTTCCCAGGCCACAGCAGAGAGCTGGACTGGAAGAGGAGCAACCGAGACAGAATCCAACGCCCTGACTGGGACTAGAACCCGGGGTGCCGGCGCCGCAGCCCAAGGATTAGCCTAGTGAGCCGCGGCGCTGGCCCTCTCATATTTCTTAAGTATTGGTTTGCTTCTGGTGGCTTCTTGAGGGTATTCAGTGCATGTTTAATTTCTTTTTTTAGTCCCTATATTTAGATATTCTCTTTTACCTTTGATATCACAGACTTCACAAAGAAGAAAAATTTGGAAAATCAATGGATAAAGCTGAACTTCAATCATTAAAATGAAATACTGCTAATATTTCCATTCCTATGGAAATATATATGTAGACCAAATGGATTGTTGGGACTTGATAGTTGTCATTTGCCATTATGTAGACATGGCCTAAGTGAAGAAACCAATTTGTTAAAAATTTATCTTACCTTTAAAAAATCCTTGAGTTAAATATATTGCTTTAATAAAATTCTTCCTGCCATTCTGTCACCTCAAAAAGCTCTATGACAAGATTCAAGGATATTACAGATGAAAATTAGTCTGAGCTAAATACTGCCTTCCCTTTTCATACTCACATTCAGGCTGGGTAGCCACCTTGATGGGTTGGGAACTCTCCCCTGGACCCCACTCGTTGTAGGCCACTACTCGGAACGTGTACATGGCTTCTGGCTTCAGGTTGCCCACAGTAAGCTGTAGGGACCCAGGCTGGGTTGTATTCAGTGCTCGCTCCCTGGGAAATCAAAGTCGTATAGAATGGTTATTACAAATGAATACTTATAACAAAAATCTTGATTCTGTGAAGAGGTAAACCAAAAGGCTGTGAATTCATTTATTGTTGGAACCAAACGGTCCCTTTCTAGTGTTTCCTCTTGACATTTGGAAAGCTCAAGAGCCTCCTACTCTGTCTCCTCCCATTTTTCCCCTTGCTTAGTTGTACAGTGCTGAGTATACCCATGAAAACTTTAAGTCGTGTGAGCTAGGCAGAAAGACAAACCTGACCCCTGGACACAGAGACTTGGCTGGACTGGAACTCAAATACTGAAGCCCTTTCCGACGCAAGGGGACAGATGCACAAGGAAATCCAGAGCAGAACCTATCTTACTTTATCAGAAGCGGCCCCAAATCCAGCTCTTCCGATCAGGGCTTGAATCTCCAGGGATTTTGCATATCAGCTTTTCCTACCTAATCCATAAAACTTTCTCAGATTCCCAAAAAGAGAGGGCAGATTTGAATCATACCATCTGCCTTGCTTGCTAACAAGCATTGCAAATAAACCTCTCTCTTCTCATAAGATCCATGTCACAGATTGGTCTTGGTATACATAGTACAGTAAATCCATCTTGTCCAGTAATGATGTTGACCTTGGGATATAATCTGAAACCTCTGAGGTTTCCGATAGGGAATTAACTGGAAGGGTCTATAAATAAATGTTGAGAGGGTTTTGGAGAACTGAAGATTATGTCATTCCCTATGAAATTTTTAAACTAAAGTGTTTCCCCTTGACACTTCATAGTTTAGAATCCAAAACTCCTGATAAACAAAGAGCTATTAAAAGAAGAAGAAACATCTGGAATGCAGACAGGAAGATGCATTTTGTCAACATACAGCTATTGACAGAAATCAAGGTTTCAATTATTCCACAAATCGGTCTTTGGCAGTATTGCCAACAAATGCATTTATGCATTTTCTCTCATTGTACAACAAGAAAACTCAGATGCTAAGTGTTCCTATGTATGGGGCTTGGGCTCCTGTGGCTAAAGGAAGAGCAGTTAGTGACAGGAAGCAAACTCCTTTCTGTGTGAAAAGAAACTAACACGTATCTGCCTGCCTGGTTTCTCAAGGCCTATCTAAATATATTGAACGCATTCACCAATTACAAACCTTCTCCAGGTTGTGAACAAATGAATTTATTTGCTGATGATGGTGAGGTTTATAGTACATATTAAGGAAAGACAAAATCTATGGATATGGATACTCACATTTAAAAAATAAGAACTACTTCAGCATTCTCTAAGGACACAGGATTCTATACCTTCTAGAAATTCCAGATGTCCTCATTGACCTTAAACATATAATTGGTTAACCTGAATGATGAACATATTCCTAAGCTATTCCACTATTTCTTTAAATTTCTATATCTAGATGAACTTTTTTCCCTCAGTGTAATTATATGTACATTTTAGTTTTGCTGTGACCCTGAGAATCTAAGATGTTAATAAATTCCTTACAAAGAAACAAAAATTTTGGGGGGCCAGCGCCGTGGCTCACTAGTTTAATCCTATGCCTGTGGCACCGGCATCCCATATGGGCACCGGGTTCTAGTCCTGGTTGCTCCTCTTCCAGTCCAGCTCTCTTCTGTGGCCTGGGAAAGCAGTAGAAGATGGCCCAAATCTTTGGGCCCCTGCACCCAAATGGAAGACCAGGAAAAGACTCCTGGTTCCTGGATTCAGATCGGCATAGTTCCGGCCATTGTAGCCATTTGGAGAGTGAACCAACAGAAGGAAGAGCTTTCTCTCTGTCTCCCTCTCTCATTGTCTGTAAACTCTACCTGTCAAATGAAAATTAAAAAAAAAAAAAGAAATAAAAATTTAAAAAGAAATGTGAAATGAGCCTTATTGAGATCATGTATCCTTGATACTTCCAACTTCTATGGCTACAAAGTGATGTGTTTTTTCCAATTAAAAAGTGATCTCTGGGAAGACAGTGCAGTGGTTAAGACACAGCTTAAAAATTAAATTTCTAAGAAGAAAAACAAAGTTTATAGTGGCAAGAATGATGATTGCGGGGAATATTATCTTCTAAATGTGACAGAAATGCCAGAAACTGGTGGGGTCATTCTTAAATACCAAATGTGTTCTATTTCATTTACTTGACAATACTTCCCAGCCCCTCTTATGTCTAAAGAGGGTCACAAGATGGAGAATGTGTGATGTGTGTTGATTCCAGGTTGACCCTAGCAAACCTTGGATAGGTTGTCCTCTGTTCTCTCTTCCTTCACTTTTGAACATGAGATACACAATCATGAAAACCATTGGAAGTCATATAGAGTCTCCCCTGTGTGTCTGTGGGTATTAGTTCCTGGACATTAATTCCAGCTTCCACAGAGACACATGTCCTTTACATAAAATGGCATTGTAGTTGCATATAACCTATGTACATCCTCCCCTCTAAGTAATATTCAGATCAGTTATAACACCTACATGGAAATGCTATGTAAATAGTTGTATTATTTAAGGGAAAATGGGAAGAAGAAAAAGCTATAAATGCATGCTACAGATGCAATTTTTTTCATCTATTTTAAATCTGTCGTTAGTTGAATCCACATATGTAGAACCTACAGACATTAAGTGCTGACTGTGTTGACAATGGAAGATTCAAAATTTGCACGAATTCTAGAGAACTGGGAAAGGAACTGCCTGTCGATCAGAACATGCTTCCTATATCTCATCACTGAGTCAGATAGTTTTGAGCAATCATTCATTTTAGGATTTACCTATTGTAGCAGTTAGCATTATTTTAACTGATGCTCAAAGGTCAGACTTCTCAGGCATTTATAAGAAAAGACAAATTTCATAACTAACTTTATTCTTACAACCACTAAATAATCTGGATGAAATAATTACTTTAGGTCACATAACACTTAAATAGGCATTTTTAAAGGAAAAAGAAGGTGAGAAAATTTGGACAGGCCCAGATAATAATATTCAACTTTATCTAATGAAAAATATCATTTATATATAAAAGAAGATGCTGGACTGTTTAACAGAGAGGAGTTTTAGTTTCTCATATTCTCCATTAGCTCAGAGTAATAGAATAATATTCCAAATAAACAACAGTCATACACACACACACACACACACACACACACACAAGGACATTCATTGGTATGGACAACTGATATTTTCTCAATCTTAATGTGTGAACACAGCATCTTTGAAAAAATACTTTGATGGTATTGATCTGTGAAACAATCTAAGCAAGTACTTTGCTCTGCAAACAGGTCCTAGACAAGTCTGTTACCACTCCTTTAACCTTGTACTACTTCTGCCTTCAATTACTATTAGTTTCTACATTGTAGCTTTTAATGGTTTCAAACAATGATCATTCCAATTTCATGTGCCACTTTTCAGAAATATTGGCATATCAAAGTGAGTTCATATCAAAATATTATGTAGATCCTTGGGCACACTCAGTACTAGTGTACTTGGATTGTTGCTTTTGGCTTTCTCATCGATTTATCTGAATCCCAAAATCCTCAATTGCAAAACAGGTGCTATTGAAGCATTTATATTACAGATTTTCAAAGAATTAATGAGAGGCTACATGCAAATCAGCTAAAGCAACAGGCATGGCTCCTGGTAAAAGATATGGAGTTCTCTGTAGACGGTAGATGCCATTTTTTTTTATTGTAACAGAAATATCATGATAGAGGTGTGTGTTTCTGTAACAGTTAAGAAATTGCTTGGATGCCCTCATTATATATGGAAGTGCCAAGGTTTGTGTCCCAGTACCACTTCCTACTCCATCTTCCTGCTAATGTCTACCTTGGGCAATAGCAGCTGATGGCTCAAGCACTTGAGTCCCTGCTACCCACGTGGGAGACCTGGATTGAGTTCCCAACTCTGACTTCAGCCTGCACAACCCCAGGTAAAGAGGGCATTTGGGGAGCGTACTAGCACATGGGAGATATCTGTTTGCCTGTCCCTCTGTCTCTCAAATAAATGAAAAAATAACTATTATGACAACGTCACAACAAATAAGAGCTAGTTAGCCCAAGAAGGTACCTTTCTACATAGTAGTTAGAATGAGGACTATGGACAGATAAATAAGAGGTATAATCACAAAGAAAAACTATATAAATCAGTTTCACAGATCTTGGAGTCTGCTCCTCCTCCCCTCAAATAAATCAGTTATTCCTATTAAACAAAAATACTGATTGTAACCAGAGCCAATGAACAATTCCAATAATGGACATTGTAATATTTTACAATGTCTGGGGACCTTGCTGACAGGAAACAAAGAAATAGGAGTTTATCTGATTCCACAGCAGAGGTCCACAGCCCAGTGACACCAAAGTCCCCTCTGGTGTCTGCCAGCTACTGCTGCAAGTGACCCTTTTGTTTCCTGAGGTCTAACTGCTAATGTCATACCAATGCATTCTGGGGAAATGGTCTCTCCTGCCTTGTTGTCCAATGTGTTCCTTTACAAGATGCAAAGATTCCCAGAAGGCTTTTGCTCACCCTTGTCGGGTTTTAGTAGCTGTAAACAAAACATGGCAAGCCATTTCCCAACAAGTAAATACAATCCGAGTTTGGAAGGGCAGTTTATTACACAGGGTCCTTTAGTCCTGTAATAGGCCAACATCAGCCACCTAAGGCAGTGAGGCATGAAGGAATTTTTCTCTTACTCTGGTGTATGCTCCCCTGTAAATGGGTAAACACACCGAGTTCTGAAGAAAACAGCATGGTGGATTTGAGAAGTTTGCCCAGTCGCTGCTGGGGTGTCCTGCCATTTACTGTACCAGCTACCTGTGGGAACACAGCTGGGTCCCAGGCCTCCTGCCTCTCAGTCAAGTTCTCGCCTTAGAGTTAGAAAGTATAATTACCTTCCGGTCCACAGAGCTCAGTGATAATCTATAGCAGCAGGCAAAACTTCAGCATTTCAGAGCCCTTTTCCCTCTTGTTCTGGGTTGGTAGTATGCATATCAGTCAAATTCAGGATAAAATGAAG